GCTGAATAGTGCGAATCTTTTCTAAAGCACTAATTAGCATATCTCGCGGAATAATTAGCGCTTAAATAAGATTTTATACAAACGACTCAATATTGGCGCAGTATTCGCAATTGGATATTGGCGGAGTACGGACCGCCAGTGTTGATTCGATATTGACAGAATGCTGAGATGATAAATCTGGCGCAGTACTGATCGACACTGCACCGTATTGGAATGTAATATCATGTCAGTATCGTACCAGTATTAACCAAATACTGGAAACCAGTATCGATTTACTAGCCAAATGCTGAGATAAAAAGTCTGGCACGATATTAATCATTGACATCGGTATTAGAATTTAACATCGCGCGGACAGGATCTGTACTGACCTAGTACTCTGTGAGTACAGCAGTGCAAAAATCCTAAAAGTACATTTTGTATTAAAATTATATAATATAAATAAATATTAATTGTGTAGAGTAAAACAAAGCACTTAATTAACACCTAATTATAATGTAGGTTTTTAGAAGATTTTTTAATCGGAAACATAGTTTTTCTTAATATAAGAAGGGCTTGACTTTATGTCAATTTCCTGCCAAACAAGTCGAGCATCAAATTTTTTAATTAAGCACTTTATTAGCATCTAACTAGCATTTAATTTTTATGTAGGTACGAATGCATTTAATTTTTATGTAAATACGAATTTTTCTATAGTAGGAAAGCTAATTTAATAAAAGTTTTTTTTAATATTAATTAAATGTCACTTTAAACTATTTAGTGTGTTTTACTTTTCTCTCTCAATAAGTGTGTAGAATAATTTTATTGATGTTTTTTGTTTTTCATAATATGCTGATTCTTTTTGCGGCTTGCTTCGTATAAATGCAACGTACGTGTTGATAAAACTTTTTTATATTCATAGACCTTATACAAATCAAGAGTTTGTTCTATCATATTAATAGATTAATGTGTATCTTGACAGAGATTAAAATATATATATGCTTTTCCGAGAGAGAGAGAGAGAGAGAGAGGAAGGAAAGAAGGGAGGGAAGAAAAAAAAGAGAGGGAGAGAGAAAGAGAGGAAGGGAGAGAAGAAAAAGAGAAAGAGAGAGAAAGATCGAGCAACCTTCGATACGCCGTTACGTAACCGATGCAAACGCTTACGTGCGCGAAAACCTGTTGTCAAACGCGCGTCTAGGGAAAGCATCGCACGTGTGCAATGTTTTTCTAGAAAACGCGATCACACTCTCTACCAAGAACTTTGGTTAGAATATAAAGAATGATCAGAAATTTTCTCTGCACACACCAGACAAAACTTTTTTGCAGTGATAACTCTCGACGAAATAAAGATAGGAGACTCTCTAAGTTTAATAATATTTCAATACTTTTAACTGTTGATTTAAATTGCGACATTACTTATGATATCGTAAAAAGATTAAAATTTATACATAAATAATACAAAATTAAATTAAATTTAAAATTACACATATATAATACAAAAAAAATTTACACAAATTATTCGGTTATGCTTTTTTAAACATTAATAAATTAATAATTACTCTTATACATAATAGGGTGATGTAAATTGATTATTTATATTTTAACGCACATATTTTTTAAAAGCATCCCGATCGCAAACGATTGTAAATGATTTTCAATATGTTAAAATGTTATTTTTATACTTAGAAAATCGTATGAAGATAAATCAAAGTAATATAGTCCGATTGCAATGCTTTTAGTAAGTAAGAATGCATTCGGGATAGAGAGGGAGAAAGATACACGCTTTCGTGTTGTAAGCGTCATTCTATCTTTTCCGCTTGTCATATGTAAAACAAGGATAGAATGACGTATGCGCTTTGCGTTGATAGCGCGCTCCCTGAACGCATCGTAAATTGCAATTTCTATCAAGCAAACATACATTTCTTGTAATATTGCATTAGATACAGCCGAGTGCTCGAAAGAATGTATAATTTAAGAGACGCCTATAGTGCGCTCGCTTAAAATCAATTTCGTCGCGCCATCGTGCACAATTGTGTCGGCTCGATAAAGCCGCGAATCGCAGAGTACATGACGGTTCCGACAGATTCGCACCTCCGCTCGCGACGAAAAGTCAACACTTGTGAGTTACACTCACCACAAACGGGAAGAATTGACCGATTGGAAGGAAGCTTAAGAGTTGATGTTGCAGTGATCAGACGTTCCGTTGCACCAACGTTCAGTTGTTTTCTCGCGAGACACTCCGTATTAGTTCGGAAGACATTTTATTATGTAGTTCAACACACAATACACAGATCCAGACGAAACACTTTTTTATATCACGAGCGATGATAACAACGAACGCAAAAGAGACGCGGCGGTAGCACTTTGACATGCGACAAACCGAAGCGCGGCGTGTGTGTCTAATGTGACGTGACACGACGCGACGTTTGACGTATCATCGAATGGAGCGGAAAGAACCGAAACAGGACGACGCGTATACCGCTGAACAATGAAATGAACAACACTCCCGAATTGACTCGACTCGCGCTCGCGACTGATCGTTTGCGTGCGCGCGACTCAAGCAGTACCGACAGCGACGCCTCGCGCGGAAGCCGATCGAAGCGTGTGCGTCTACTGCAAACGTCAAATTTCGATCGGCGCGTGCCGCTGTGTGTCATATATATATGTGTATGTACATGTAGTGTGTGGTGCAACTCGTGAGTAAGCGTCTCGCGTTTCGAGTCATACATGAAGAAATAAGAGAAAAGATCGCGACAAACCTCTCTTCATCTTACGTCTTTCACTTTCTCTCTTTCTTCCTCCTCTCTTTCCCCTCCTTCGTTATACGAACATCCCTCTTTAGAACGCCGTATCGTTATCTCAATGAGAATTCCTTGTAGAACCATTTTCCATCGGTACACGCCATGGTGTCCCTGAAAAATGCCGTAATATAGCCGTTTTTTTTTGCCGCGCGTTGTACTTTGTGAGATTTGATATTTTCCAAGAATCGCACATGTTACAAGATTATTGTAAAATGAAACTATACTTTTTCGTGAGATTGAGGAATGTTAAAGTGCCAAAAAATCATCAAGAGTAGTTCACAGTCTATCTTTTTTCTTCTAATATGAATAAAAAAAGAATAGACTGTGAACTAGTGTAGTCAGTGCAGGAAATAAACCTTATAAGAAGCTTTCGAACTGTCCAAATGTTACTTTGAGTGAAATTGTTGTCAAATACGGCTGAAAAAAAAGAGTGATAAATATTTTACTTCTCTTGTCATAAGAGAATTATTAGAGAATTCATATTCGTCATCTGATAGCGTTGGATATTTCATGCTGGTTTCATCTAAAAAAAAATAAATTTCCGCATTTTCTTGATCTATTGGAAATAGTTCTTTTTGTTTTTTTGTGTTTCGTAAATAGGTAAATTTTTATAATCTTTATTTTATAATCTTTAGACAGCCGATATTTTTTCATTAAAACTATGGTATTTTTCCGTAATATTTACCTAAATTTAGTTTATTATATTGCGTGGAGCGAAACGCGGGACATCGATTCTGGATCATAATGTAGTAAATGACAAAAGTAAACAAATTTACTGTTGTTGACCATTAACATCACAGATATTTTAGTAAATTTGCTCACTTTTATCATTTTTACTACATTGCATGATACAGAATCGATACCTAGGTTTCACCTGGCTCCGATCGGAGCCAGGCCGAGAGACGAAAGTGAAATATTATAATATTTTCAAATTTTGAAAAATAGTGTTTCTAAGGGTTTTTCATATTGCTGATTACGATTTTGAGTTGCAATTGCAAAACTCTTTCAATACAGTAGCATTATTACCAAGCTCAAAATCATGTAGAAATAAATTTTGTACCTCAAATTATACTGTAAATTTTAGACAACTTTGTTTGACATTTGATATTTTCGTGGTGTTGTATTAACATTCAAAGATGTTTTTCGGGTTTGAACCGCATTAGCGTCATTTTTATACCGACGTTTCAGGCTGCTCTTGAAACCCTGATGAGCTGAACTGTTCACGAAACGTCGGTATAAAAATGACACTAACGCAATTCAAACCTGAAAAACAACTTCGAATGTTTAAACGACTTTATTTTACCGTAAGCTAAATTACATTATCCAACGACATATTTAAATTTACTAAATATTTTTTCTCACAAATCAAGTCAGATGAAAGAGAACTCTCCTCCAAGATACAATATAAATTAGCGATCACACGGCGACAATCGCAAGCGTAAGTCGGGTTTACAATGTTCTGTCGCATTGGTCAACTTGCCAGACATAACCAATGCGATTAGATTCACAATGTGGACGTAACTTGCGCTCGCAATTGTCGCAAGCGTTAAGTGGAATTTATTGGAATTTGTTTTATTTCTCTTAACGCCTAATCACACTAGCAATTAACGATCGGATTGCAATTGCGATTGGCGATTGGCGATTGACATTTATCCAATCACACATAAAGGCCTAAAGTGGGCGCTTTAGGTTGGATCCTCATGCAAAACACCGGCGCTTTGACATCGAACGTTGATTGGTGAAAAGCGGATGGTGAGGGTAAATGGCAGCTCTAATTTACCCTCACCACTTGCCTTTCACCAATCAACGTTCGGTATCAAAGTGCCGGTGTCTGCATGAGGATCCAGCCTTAAGCGTCAGTCTATCTTTATTCTATGGCTGCGTTCCGAGTTACGCATAGGCGCGCATTTATCTATAGTACACGTAACGTATGGTATAGACAAATGCGCGCATATGCGTAACTCGGAACGCAGTCAATATTTAAACAACAATAAAGACAGACTGACGCTTAAAGCGCGTAAGCGTCCAAGATCCATTGATATAACATTGATTACATTAATTGTTTATATTATTAGTCAAACGCGAAATAACGCACAGGCTTGGACTTTTTCAAATAATTTTTTCTCTTTGCAGCAATCTGTTACTAATTTTTTTGCAAAAAAAGTAATTTGTTCTACAGTATGTACACAGCGTATAAACGTAATAAGATTTTACACGAGTCATCACTGCTTATCTATCGTCTCGCCAAAAACTTGATAACATCAATGCGCGTACACATACAATTACAATGCAATTCTTATTGCAATCGCACTCTTCGATATGTATCGCAAAAGTATTCTTTATCTTTTCCTTGTCATTTTTGAACTGTTTTTGCTACCGCCAAAAATTTACAAATCGACACGTGTCAATGCACAGCACACAAATACAGCGCCTGCTCGTCACGCGAGACATGTGACCCGTTTAAAGTTTCACCGTATGTGGAATTACCGTGAGAACGATTGCAGTTCGCTCACTGTTAGTGCGGATATTCCACCTTCCTGAAGTATACGCGACAAGTTAGCGCTTGACGAGCTGTTCTAGGTTAGGTTATGTTGCTGTGTTTATAGTCATCGCGGTCTAATTGATTCTCCTCGCGTGCACAGTCCGTCATCATCGGCGAAGTTCGGTCGTTGCCTGTGCGAAATATGAGAAGGACATACACTGGGACATCTGGATTAGTTTATCTTCTCTTCGGAGTATCCTAACTACTGCGTCGCGTCTGCAAGCTAACTTGATAACTACCTCAAGGTTCGCAATTTTCGCAACGTTCTTCCTGTTTTGATTTTCTTTCCGGTAGGTAGAAATGTATAACGCGAGACTTACGCAATATATTCGTGGGTAGATTATGATCAAGCGAGGACAAGAAGTTATAAAAGTCGCTGTTGTTTTTTGTGTCTAAAGTGTGTTCGATCACAGCTGTACGTGACGCGATCGATCTCATGCGTAACGTTGCTTCGTTAAAAATATGAAAACAGTGTCACTGCGAAACTTTGCCCCATTTCTATAGATTCGCGCAGAGTACCGCGCACGATTACTGACATTCGCGCGTAATCGCGCGGCCGGTTACGAATCTTGTGTGACCTTGTAGAATGTGCGTTTTGTTTGTTGCATCGTCGCCGCTAATGCACCGTCTGTTTACAACTTGGAATAGTTATAGCGTGTCGCTTTGTTAAAAATAAACGCTACAAATATCTTACATACCTCGATAACTAAATATAAAATTCTCAAATTATATATTATATATCGAATTATATGTTATATAATAGATATTGCAACGTATAATCTTCACGAATTAATTAGAAAACAGATTTATTTGTTTTTTCTTTTTTTTTTTTTTTTTCAAAAAAAAGAATCTTGCTGCATTGAAAGATGTGTTTAAAAGAACTATTGCATATTATGAGCAGAGGAGAAGAATATCTAATTAATTTTAATTAGTCTCATAATGACTCATGAGTTTTAATCAGTTTGCAACACTACTGGTGTTTAAGAATTAATTGGCTAGTTTTCTGCACAATATAGAATAGATTTTTGATACTTTTTATAATGTTTACAAACACCAATTGATGACTTATTTCTACTATGAGAATATTTTTTTGTGTTGACAGACTACACAGTTGTGATATGAGTGTTGGTTTATCCATGTATGATGGCTTGGAGAACGAGACTACTTCTGATAATGGCTTGGATAATACCGGAAGTACTACAAAAAAACTGGCTAGGGGTATTTCTCGTGCAACTGAAAATGCAGCAATTGTTTCCTATGCTCGTACACAATTGGCATCTTTAGGCGTTCTTGATACACCAGAATTCACATTCTCACTGCCTGATTTGTCTGTATATCCAGGTATTTTTTTTATTGTGTGTGTGTCGAATATGCTATAAAAATGTCAATTTAATACTTATGTTATAATATTAATACTTGTGCTATAATATTGATATCACTTAGATTCATTCCGTAAATTCTTGGAGAAAGATCTTATAGAGAATGGATGTTTAACCTCTCTCGAAGCTGCAGGACGTTTAAACTGGTGGTACAAGAGTGGCAGTACTAGAATTCTCTGGCCGCTAGCAACATCTGGAGATGGTAATTGTTTGCTTCACGCTGCTTCATTAGGAATGTGGGGTTTTCATGATAGATTGCTTACTCTAAGAGAAGCGCTGTACAATACTCTAGCTAAAGGAGAATACAGACATGCTCTATTCAGGTATAAAATAAGAAATAAAAATAGAGCAAGTATAATATTTAATGATAATTAAAATATTGTAAAAATATGATTTTTGAGACGGTGGAAGTGGAGACAAACAGACCTAAATGCTGCTGCTAATTTATCATATACAGAAGCAGAGTGGTTATCTGAATGGCAAAGTATAGTAGACATGGCCTCTCCCGCGATTAGAAACCAAACTGTTACATCTTATCAGAGTCTCGAAGAGGTATCATGTCATCACATTTTCTTGACAATATATATAGAATTATTCTCTACTCTCTGTTTATATTTTAGATACACGTTTTAGCCTTGGCTCATGCTTTAAAAAGGCCTATAATAGTTATAGCAGAAACTATGTTGAAAGATTCTGAAGGAGTGGCCTTTGCGCCGATCCCGTTCGGCGGTGTATATCTGCCTTTGGAAGTGCTACCCTCACGTTGTCATAGAACTCCCTTACTCTTAGCGTATCATTCTGCTCATTTTTCACCGCTTGTTACGGTAGATGGATGCAACGATTATGGCAATGCTTGCGGCGAAGGAGTCAGTATACCACTGGTCGATCCGGATACTGGTAAACTGTTGCCAATTTTATTCGCTGTGGATCCTGGTCCTGATTGGAACTGGACCGATGGTTTACGAGATTTGTTAACTTGTACGCAGGATACCGTACGTACATTACATCCTTTCTCCTTTGTATTAAAAATATCGAGAATATTATTCAAGATAAAATTATTCTTTTTATATTTTATTGCACACAGATAGAAAGTCTGTTACGAAAATATCTGGACTGCGAGTATCAAAGTTTTACATCTGAAGATATCGATAGGCTTTCCGATGCAGATGGTTCATTATCGAAAACAGCGAGACAATTAATAGAGGTAGCAAAACAATTTGGTTCTCTTGGTAGATCCGTCAGTAAAAAATTATGGTCTAATATGACTAATAAAAGGTCAAAAAGTCCGCCTTCGTCAAGCGGAATTTCTACTGAGGGTTTGTTGTGCGTGAGAATAAAAAGTAGACGTCACCAGTATGTAGATCAAATGCTTCAAAATTATCTTCAGTGTGCCCATGCAAGGTATTATCGTGACATATAATGCGATCTATTATTTGTTGCATATTTGAAATAAGCTATAAAAGGTTCGTTTAATCGCAGATATCTACAAGATCATCAAGTAGATGATACGGGAAGCGAACTGAATTACGGTGCCGGAAAGTCTAAATTTTATGCTGCCAGTGATCGCGATAGTCATGCGAGCGTTAGCAAATTGTTACCTACTAATACAAATAAGGATCGTACGCTTTATCTTTCAAGGTACTATTTTGGAACACATTTTCTATTCGCCAGTTTTTTAAATATGTTCCATGACAAAATAATGAATCCAGTATTTTCTCTACAGATCCACATTTTATAACAATCAATCTCCATTAAGTAGCACGGAGCCAGAGATCTGGAACAGTAGTGACGATGTAAAGGTATGTATTTCAAACATTTGTTTTGAAGCAAGTTAAATATAATATAAAATGTTTTTTATACAGTACGTTGTGAAAGAGTGTCGCTCTGAACACTGCCAATTCTTTGGATCACCGGAAAACGAATACTATTGCTCACAATGCTGGGCTAATCGACGTTATCGTTAGATAACTTTCGTCCTTAATCACACATGACAATAATATCAGTTTACTATCGCTCGAATAAAATATTAAATAATTGCTAGACGTAAAGCTAGCTTCATGCTTATGAAAATATCCCGCCAACATATCGTTGCTAACATTGCGCTGTTGTTTTAAGTTTGTTTTAACTTTTTCTTGTTTTCTCTCGCGTATATATATTATTTATTAACATTCTTAATCTTTGAAAACTATGTATATACATATATACATACATATATACATACATATATACATACATACATACATACATACATACATACATACATACATACATACATACATACATATATGTATGTACAACCAGATGCACAGGATTAAATTAAATGTTTTTTTTTTTTTGTTATAATTATTTGTAGTATGTACATATTTTATTTACGCTTGAAAGTGAAGAAAACGCGCGCTTAAATTTCTTAATACTCAAATACCTACTGTGTGATTTTATTTTACACAAGTTTCGATATCGTGCCTTTTATCGTGAACGCGCGGAACAAGAAACAATAATACTCCCATGTATCACTTTGTCACTTAAGAATTACTTCACAGCTACTTTCATAATTTTTTATTAGTGGTAATGTAATTAGCGCTTTGTAACTTGTAAAATCTTATGATGTGAAAATATTATGTAATCTTATTGTCCTGTGCAACCACTGTACGTTTTGTGTAAAGTTGTGTGAGAGAAGAATAAACATATTTTTATAAATTTGACGTAATATCTTTCGCCATGCAACAAATATATTGCCGTGTAAAAGGTTATATAAGCTCACACAATATATTTTGTCGTAATAAAATGTATTTACACATATTTCTTTGCATTAACCTATCATTGTGTGAAAAAGATCATAATTATTAATAAGTAATTTAATATAATTTTACCTGATATATATATTACCTATATTTACTGTGAATTATATCGACAAACATGTAATTGTATAACACTAATTTTATTAATTATATGCAAAGAAAAGCCTGCTTGTATATACAAAAATCCAAGAAGATATAATTATTCAATGTACAAATTATTATATGTTGATACCGCCAGTATTTTGTATACTTTCTATTATTAAAAACTACGAAAAACATTAAATGAGACTAAGAAACTAAGAAGTATTTAGTTTAATTACGATATTACTACGTACACAAACGCAGAATATATATTTAGATATGATATTAAAATTTGGATATCTTCTTGTTTCTATTTTGTCGTCTTCAACAGTCCTTATTGGTCTTCCAATAAAATATAGTTAATAAAGAAATAAGTAAAAGAAAAATAGCATACGTATATTTGTGTCTTTAAAAATTGTGTGTCTGAGTTTTATATACTATTTACAATTTCAGTCATACGAGCACAGATACACTACCACAGAGTCGATTAGCTGCATCCAATATATTTTTTTTAAATAATAAGCTTAAGAGTAATTATTATTTTACTTGGAAAGCTTTTATTTCAAAGATGACATTTAATACAAAGAGATCTAAAAAAATCACAAGCTAAAGTAACTTTGTGGCCGTAGCATTATGCGCGTATAAATTCTAGTGTAAGTTATTGTTTAACATTGATAAGAGAATCAAAATTGAGATTTGTGATGAAAATTATGTACTTCAAAACTTACAACCAATTTTTAAATTGAAGATATAAAAAAACAATTACTAGTTGTTAATTTTACTTTTTCAAATTTAATAAAATAACACAGCACAAATATATTTACGCACAATATATATGCCTATGTATGTATACAAATTATTAATGATAATTAATGTTATTAATAATATAAATCTATACTGTGTGTGTGTGTATATATAAGATGTAAAAATTTATTATTAATAATTTTTAACAGGTCTTTTTTCGACCATTTGTTTTTTTCTCTAGATTGAATATCATTCTCAATTTTTTGCAATATTACAATACAAATATATAATTATGTAACAGAAAGCGAAAATTTATTATTAATGCAAATGTTACACATAGATGTTAGGATCAATTGATGTACCCATTTGCAACTTCGAACATGACATGTGAAACTAGATATCTCCAAAATGATGTAATGTCAATCGCGTGTACTTACAGTACTTGTATACATAGAATCGTTTTTATCGAACGCATTTATCAATACTAAGGTAAATCAATTGGTCCGTTTCTATTTGAAAGATCAAAGTGCCAGCCACAATACAAGCACAAGTGCTGTCCTATTGAAGTACTTATATTTATACTATAGGATATTGCTTAAGTTAAAGAGCTTATAAACACGGAATTTTTTTGTAATATCATGCAATATATACTTAAAATACAACTATAAACTTTTCTAACTCTCGTCCACAGCCAGATCTTAAACTTCATCAAACTTTCGTCAATCTTTTGCGTTATTATGACGAATTTTTGGCGCTGCGTGTACTTACATATATTAGTACATACTTAAATACAAACTAGTAAGCTTATACATATTTTTATTAAGATTTTTAACATGGATATGAAACTATATAATTTATATAGTACATATATTTATCGTCACCTGAAAGCTATAGTGTTTTAAGTGGAAAATAGAACACTGTAATCCTCAACTGATAATATACAGGATATTCGCGTTATTATTAGCCAGCATTTTTCTCGTAAATTGTAAGTATATTGAAACAATAAAAAAGAGAAAAGTTTTGCTGTTTTGTTTTATAACCAACATAATAGTGTACGTCAATTTTTTTATATTATTTTATATTATTTTATATTTCTCGAAAGTCATAGTATACAACATTGTTAAATTTGTCTTGACGCTTTAATATGAAGCAAAAATTATATAATATTTTATTTAGACTTTGAGGTCAGTTTCATTTCTCGAAAATTATTGCAAAAAACTGATAAACTATTATGTATTGTGTGTGTGCGCTCGCGCGCGCGTGTGTACACACACACATACACACATTTTAAACAAATATGAAAAAAATACAATCCACACGATAATTATTAACTTATAAATAACTTGGAATCTACGAATATCTGTAAATTTTTATTCTGATAAATAATTCTGACAATTAGGCGCGAGAGTTAAAATAGTTTTATTTGGAAACCATCATTAAGCAGATCTGTTTTTATTCATGTTTCAATTTTTCTTTTTATAAATACAATAATTTTAAAAGAAATCGACATACTCATAAGTCTTCTAAAGTTGACTGTTGTCCAGCAAAAAATAGCTTGAAATTTTGGTAACGGAGAGAGAAATAGAAAGATTGTCCGGTTTAAAAGCTCGTTAATTTATTAATCTATACAGAATTGGTATATAATAATTAGCGGTTCGGGTTTTTTGTTGTTGTATTTATTATCTAAGAAATGGATCACGATTCTCCGTTGCCACTATCATCGCCATCTTCATAATCAGTGGCGCTGAGCTGCTCGTCTTCGTCATCATCCAACTCGTATTCGTCGTCGTAAAAGTCTGTCATATCTAATTGCTGCTCGGCTGGCCTCGCTCGGGTCTTTATACAATAATCTTCCAGGGTTACGGGTACTACAATACCCTCTTTTTCGGCTTCTATTTTGGCAGCTTGGGCTTGTTTCCTAATAGAAAAAATGCATGAAATATACATTGACAAAATACCTACCTCTTTGATAGTCCAACAACTAAGATATTTCTTTGTTTATATATCAAATAGAAAAAGATTACAAAAAAACCGTAACGTGAACAATATTTAATGACCCGGAAAAAATAGCCTGCATTTATAGATAAATTCGATATTTGATTGTAAATAATTGCGTATAAATTATATATTGAGTGAGTGCAAAGATTCGTGTCCGATCATTAAAACTAATCAAGCAGTAATTCGGCATGAGCAATTGTTTTTTTAAATCAATGATGTAATCGCCGTCGTTTTATACAATCCCTTTTGTTAACGTTCTGTAGCATACAGATGCTTCAATCATAAAACGACTTTGGTTTTGCGTTGAAAGAAAAAAAATATTTTTGTCAGCTTTTAAAGATTCTTTTAATCATGAAAAGACTATATTAATTATGTTCCACAAATTTCTTGAAAAAGCTATTTTGTGTGATACATTAAATTATGGTTTACAGACAATATTATTTCGTTTATTGTATTATGAAACTAGCTCTTATTTTTTATTTTATTTTTAACTAGAACGAAGAAAACGACTTTTCTGATGGCCATTTCATAGTTGAAATATATGTCAAAATTACGATGTCATCATTGCTGCACTTATTTTTCACAGCATTTATATCGACAATATCGTGACACAGCTTATATGATTTCTTAATATAAATATTTAAAGTTTTCTCTATAATAACGGTTCGACAAAAAATCTTATACCTTATGATATTTTCATATTCTTTATCTCTCCCTTTGGAGTCACGCCAGCGTCTGTACATCACTGATGCGTCAACGTTAGCGGGGCTAAATGTGTTAGGCTCGTTCAGCAACGAGATTACTGATAGCAGGATGGTCCTGATAAAAAGCACAAATTTATTATTTAAAAAATTTTAGATTCTGAGAACTACACTACGTATAATTTAACATAAGGACACAACAGCATGTTTCGTTTCTCCTAATTTTTTTCTGTGATACCGATTATGATACTCACCTGACATTTTGCGTTGGATTCCACCTCTCGCAAGGGAGTTCACCGCTCTGTGGATCATCTACGGGTGGATGTAGAATTGATATGCACAAATCACCGTTCTACACAGAGAAGGTTAACTTTTCAGATCTGATTTTGCAATTTTCTCAGTTATTTTTCTGCTACTTTTTCTTTGACTACATTCAAGTAATCATTCAAATCAAGTGTTTGTTTCATTTTGCGATATATTATTTTCAAAAATTTACTCATCGCGATTATACATATATATTTTCATATATATTTGCTCGCATGTACACATGCTGCTTGCAACAACAATTTATTGTTAAAAACTAAAATTTACTCGCGCGTGCTTATTAATTAATTAGTATCTAGACTTTTGTTATCGTTGTTACGCGCTTGGTCTAAACATTTTATCTGATTTGTACGAAGTTTTGTTGATATCAGCTTTTTTAAGCATTTAAAACATTTAAAAAAGTAAACTTTTAAAAAGATTCTAAAGCTTTGAGTTAAATATACTAAATATTTTCATATACATATATTCTTTATGTTTAATACAAAGCAAAAATATGCTGCGCACGGAGTTCACGCCTGCGTCTTCTTTTTTCCCTAACGTAAAGTATACGGCAACCTCGACGACTCTGATTCTGCGTTCATTGTTCCTGAGAAAACAACGTCGCTCGAAGGACGGAACCAGATTATTTTTTTGGTGCTTAAAGAAAAATCCCCGAGAATATTGTGATTCACGCGCTTTGCGCCATTTGGAGATAATTTTTGCGTACGAGAAGATAAGATTTTACACACACACATACACACACGCGCGCGCGTATACTTGGAATATTGCGAAAAATAATAAAATATGAAAGCCACAGTTGTGTTCGCGCGCGCACGAATGCGACCAAAAAAGATATGTTTTTATATAAAATTGCAAAAAATTTATCGCGATTTTCTTACACTCTACTGTGTTTCTATTTCTCATTTCTCCCGCGCTCGACGCAAGTAGGACAAGGCGCATCGTGGTTTCACCGTGGCTTGACTCCGAACACCTTGTAATAAGCCACGAAGGCGAAGCTTCTCGAGTAAACGCCCAGCACTTGACACGACTGCTCCGCGATAGCATCTCGCTTGTGTGTCGCGCACATGCATTTATACGAGTGGCCAGCGAGTAGATGTGTGTACCTATGCACAGAAACGCGCGAGATGCAAAAGTGGCCGCTACTTCGGATGAAAGAGAAAGAGACAACGCATAAATTTAATTTCTTCTTATTCGGACATATTTCTTTCTTTTTTTTGCACGAAGAATATAAAATTATATTTTACAAAATTGATTTGAAATGAAAGCATAAACGCGCGAAATCAAAGGAAGTTCTTTGCGTAATATACGGTATGTACACACACACACATTTGCATGCGTAAGTGTAATAATATGAATTTCACGACGGCGAAAGTTAGCTTGCGAGAGAAGCGAGCCATACAAATATTAAGGTCGCGGTATATATATGAATAAATAAATAAATACGTATGTAATATAACATGACACACACACACACACACACACACACAATTTTTTTACGACAATTTGCTTTGATTGCGAGAAACCAAAAATGTAAGAATATTGAAGCAAGAACTCTTTCTTTTACAAGCATTTGCGTAAGGCGCAGATTGCCATCAAAACCAAATTTCACGCAGTAGAAAAAAAACAAAACAAAACGAGGTTTCTCGGCGTGCGATTTAATTCGCTTAAACGTTCTGTCTTTTATCTCGCAAGTAGTGTTTGAGTTTAAACATAAATAAAATAAAATAGTTCGGCTATATTTTGTGTTCAGTAATACACAAATCACGGAAACTGTGTTCTATAATCAAATAAAATTGTTTATTTATATACATCACGTATTTTTAAATGCTCGATCTCTATTCTTGCGTTTTCACAAAAAAACTAAAGGAAAATTTAAAAATATTTTTGAATTAATTTCAAATTGTGAATAATTGTACGTGCGAGCTTTAATAACTTTCTGTCGACAGCTCGTGAAAAAAAATATTTGCGTTGTTACACCTTCCTGTCGTTGCCATCTCTATCGACGATGGGCGAGTGGACACGGATGTCCACATGAGCTTTCGACGGTCATTGACTTCGGTTTGCTAGTTATCGAAGGGTCACATGCGACGAACAACAAACAAAAGAGATGCGGCGATATCGCGAGGTCGATAAGCGTGTGAGAAGACAACATATTTTTATGCAAATAACACTATTGATGAGTAACACAAATAAAAATGCGGAAATGCATTCTCGACTACAGATAATTTGTTAACCATTTTGATAACGAATAAAAACGTTATTCGTCAAATATTTTTTCTTTTCGACCGTAATATTGTCATTGTTTTATATTTATACTTATACAGTTTGTTGTAAAAGTTATAGATATTACAAATTATTTGAATTTAATATTTTATCATAATTAAAACTGTAATTTTTAAAATACAGGAATGCCAACAACAACTTATACCTATAATATTAGTAGATAGGCGTAAAATTGCTTTCTATCTTTTTAAAAATGATACTTATAAGATCACGAATCTATTTTGTGTTCGAATCGCCACTTGCTTCGATCAATTAAATTCTCGCTTCTCTCGCTGATTGCGTGAAATTTGCACGACGACGGTGAAAGAACCGCCGAATTTTATAAACGTCAAATGTGACGATGCGAATCCGCGATAAATATAGCGACCTGACGTTCCACACAAGAACACGCGGCGCGTTAATGATATGCCAATATAAATGCAATCTCGGATACTGCTACGCAATTTTGCAAGTCGACTGTTTTCATACTTTTTTCTTTTGCTTTATACTTTTAGTTTTATACTTTTTTCTTTTGCTCCCTCTCGTTTCTCCTGGTTTGCCCGTCCGTCCGAGCGACGGTGCGTTTCGATGGAAGCGCAACCAAGCGGGGGTTCGGACGACCCGGGTGGTTTCACAAGCGCTGAAAGTGACGATGTAAAGGCTGATGGTTGTAAAAGCCATGACGGCGGAGGATAGAAGATAAAGAGAGGCGGATAGACAGAGCGGGACGGTCGTTATACAGTCGCGGTAGTAAGCGGAGTGAGAGCGGGACAGATAAACGGAAACGGGATGGTAAAAGAGAAACGAGAGACACGCACGTACACTCATGTACATAAAAGAAAAAGATCGAACATGGTGGAGAGAAGAGAGAGGAAGAGAGAGAAAGAGAACAGTATAAATCGATAATTCTCGTACATTCACTCACCTCATATACATTCGGGTGCCAAACTTTTGTCATGAAACGAATACTCGGCGGACTGTATGGATAATCTGGCGGGAACTTCATGTGTGCCTGCAACAAAACAAATCAAACTCCGTCTCACAACACATTTAACGCACGTATCATGTAGTACAATCTGTTACATACGCACAGAAAAATGACAAGTAAATATCACTTGTATCAAGTATATAATAAGTTTATATATCCACAAATGGTACCTACAAATTATACAAGGATTTCGTAAGTACTTATTCAAAATATTTTTTAAATCTTAGTAAACTTGATACTTTTCAAGCACGAATATATATTAAACTTAAAAGAAAAATTCGGTACTTAACACATCTGCGTGTTTTTCGATAAAGTTTTGAAATATTCTTGAAAAGAGAATACGTTCTTCTTTTGTATATAATAATAAGTTTTTTAAAAATTTGTAAGTATATTGTAAGACTATATCAAGAAAATATTCTTTGAATTAACGTTAACGATTGTTTAAAAGAAAAATAAATAAATACTGAATAATTATTTTTCTTAGTAATATAGAATAATGTTTTTCTGTGTGTACAAGTTGCAGTCTCTCTCTCTCATGTTGACTACGCAACAATGAATAATCTTTAGTTTATCTAACATCGAAAATTATTATAATTTTGATGGCTTCAACAATTCGACACATAATTTTCATCAAAAAATTTTAAGAGGTATTTAAAATCCGTCATTGCTTTTACGAACAGAAATGTGAAAGCTATTTCCACATATATCCATGACACCAAGTTTTAAATTCATTAAAATTATAATTTTGAATATCTGCCTTTGAAGAAGATTTATATATGTAAATTTACTTATGTTATATGTACTTAAAATATTTAACAAAATAGTAAACCATATTCTTTTTAATATATTTATATATTTAAAAATAAATATTTGAAAAGATAATAATCCTAATAAATTTCTTAATAGACTAAGATGATTTTAGTCTGATGAAAATATAAAAGATATGACAAAGTGTGATAGATGGGGTAACCTTTTTCATATACAATATATATGTATTTTGATGAAATCAGTCAAATTAATGTAGTGAAAAACTACTTTTATAAATTGCGAATGAAGACATTTCCGATGTTGAGAAAGTGCATCACGGCCATGCACGGTGTATGCACGTAACTATAACAGAAAAAGATATAAAATCAAATCAGATATTAATAAAGATTTGACATTTCGATCCGATTGAAAAATCTTCAGCGTGTTCAAGCGATAATATCGATCTCTATTTTAAAACGGGAATATTGCTATGTTCAATGGAGGCTTTGCCATCGGGACGCTAATATTGATCGCGACCTGGTCATGGCCCAAATATCCACCTCGTCCTCCGGGATAACCGCGTTCTAGAATTAACCTACTTTCTACTGACTACACACAGTATCGCGAAAATTCTGCACGTAATAGTTCGCGTGCACTTGCAAGTTGACACGTTGCCACTTTAAGCAATTTTTATGACAATTTCCCAAAATTATATGTTCCCGAATCTTTTATTGGTCTATCAAAGACAGAATTAATTGTCAGCTAATAGAGTCTTCTAAGAAAATTCTCTCTTTCAATTAAGAGATTCTTCTATTTATCTTTCAACAGAACACTAGTGATGATAATCAATGTTTTAATTATTACTAAAAAATCTTTGAAAATTCTTGAATGTTTAAATATATTTATATACAATTTTAATTTATCAATATTTGACTTGCATTTGCGTTTTAGAGTAAAATAATGAAAGCGTGCTGAGTTTTCTGATGTCACAAGTACCAAGTAGGTGGAAAAATATTGATCGCGATTATCAGTACGCGATCTTATATTGCCAGGAAATATTATGAGAATTGTCTATAACACGGGCTTACTGTCTTATGCAATAAAATGTTTTCTGCAAAGCTCTTGTGTTTTCAGATATGTTATTAAAAAAAAGTCACTTTACACGAGAAAAATAATGATTTAAAGCAAGATTTTATGCAGATTGCTCTAGCATAAAACTATCATCTTGTCGTCTTTTGTCGTAACTCCATCGTATGACCTATAAATTTTCGCGACCTACTTTGACAATAAGCACCGTTGATCATTGTAACGCGACGTTGTGTAATGCGAGTCTGATGATTTTTATACCTCAATCAAGACAGATCAGTTTGGTTTCACAAACGTGATACTGTTATTCGCTCAATTTGTAAAACATTTTTTGTTTGCTTTCGGAATAAAACAAAGAAATGCTTTAAAAAAAATGTAGTAATCAGACAATTGCAATAATTCTTCTCTCTTTTAACGTTTTTAATAACAATGGGTTGACTAGCTCTCGGAGTAATCAATGACGTCAATTTAACAAATCGATATTATATTGATTAATTTACTTGAAATAATGTCATAATCGCTTCGAAAAGGCGATTCAACTCGTGCCAGTCAAAAACGCTATTGATGCAAAAACATGCGGAAGACAATTAAAAACGATAAAAAGAAATTTTTCTAACGAGGTGTTTGTGTGTGCGTGCGCGCTATGCAGAAAAAAACTAAACATGTTTCTCGCTTTTTTCCTCTTTCCGCTTCTTATGGAAATATAGAAGTGAATAAATACATAAATAACTGTATATTGCAATTCCTTTCTGTAAGTTGTGTATCGACTATCGATTCTGCAAGCGTATTATTAACATAGAAAGTTCTGGCACAGACAAAGAGTGGAATGTCTTCGCAAGGTGAAAGGATGAAGTCTGATCGAGGCAGACGTTGTGAGAAATGAAACAAGTATAATGACGAACCAACGTCTCAAGTCCACGAGATAGATACGTTAGATAATATATAAAATCGAACCGGTGCTCGTTCGTCTTAAACGGAATGAGATTAGGAGAAAGTTGGTTGGCCGTTGGTGATCGGTAGGGTTTGCTACCATCCAGAAATAGAACCAAGACAACGCTCGATGGCATTTTATGTAACTTGGCAGCCATACTCACGTATTTTTCGCCTTTTATCGAGCTACGCGTAAGTTCTGGTTAAGAGCAAATTTCTGATAAATGTGAAAATATATAATCTTGCAAAACCGCATCTCATGATCATCATATATATATATATAAAACCAAAAAAACATATATAACTAAAAAAAGTTTTTATAATTCTTTTATGTTCAAAATGGCGACGCAATGGCTTATTTGGCAAAATCTTTTTTTCTGCAGCTTCAAATTGGTGTACAGGATTCTAGGCACACGATTTTGATCTTGAACAAACTATATAAAATATACATTATTTATATATTAAAAACTAGAGAAGTACGTAGAAATTTTTCAAAATATTGCCTTTTTTCAATGACATTTATGCTATTTTATTAAACTTGGATTTTTTCAAATTTACGTATAAAAAATGTTAATTGCAAAACGAGTTTTCAATATTTTGAAAAATTCCTACGTACTTCTCTAGTCTTTGATAATATGTAGATAATAAACATTTATATATTTTGTTCAAGGTCAAACTGTATACTTAGAATTCTGTACACTAATTGGAAGTTGCAAAAAAAAAATTCTGCAAGTGCACCACCAGTTTGGACATACAAAAAATAAAAACATTTTTTTAGTTTGTTATATATGTACAATAATAATAAATTCCTCTAAGCAGATTTTAAGTACATATATTTACCCATAAAAAATCCCTAAAACCTTACGTATCATTTTAAGACTTCAGGAGTGTTCTGACCTCTTACCTATACAGCATTATATAAAATAAAAACACAATGTTTTGTCACATACTTAGAAAGCGCAAACAACTATTTGTTTATATATAGTTTTAAGTTAGAAAATTTTGTGGTTTTTAAAACAATTGTAAATTTAAATAAAAACCTGATTTCATGCAGAATGAAAACTTACAAACGGAAAAAAGTGCAAGGAAAAGTTGTCTTTGTGGATAATCGAGAACGTGAATAAAGAATGTGAAGTTATTAATTACGAAGGATATTTCAAGCGTAAGATAAAAGCAATTGTTTATCTAAGCGTTCGAAACAACGCGAGCATTCATCGGTTAAGGGCTAACGTGATTACGGTAAAGTAAATAATAGATTAATCCGGAGCACGGTGGAGACGCAGTCTTTCGAAATAACTACATATATACGCGCAGATAAAATGTATATACGAGATATATCTTGTGTACGATATATATACAAAGGTTTACAAGAAACACCGTGGCTCGTTACCGCGCGCTACAAGTTACGTTACGAGAAGATACACCGCATTACGTGAATAGAGTTCACTTGCACGCATTTACGGTGACGAAGCGGCGAGTAGTTTAGAAAGCGGACGAAACGAAACGGTAGAGCAAGCAAAAAGTATAGCAGTGTATCAGCAATGACAGAACCCATTTTACAGTTTGGCGTTTAATCTGGTCAAACACTCCTTATCCGCTTCGTCACTGTAACTAACTTATACATGCTTATGACATCAGAAACTAGAAAAATCATGCCAATTTTTTTTTTCACCATGCGTAAACACAACTTAATGTAATCAGCTGTTTGCTTGATTTGTTTTAGAAAATATCCATTTTTTCATCTAATTATTATATTATTCTATTTCGTTTTCTTAGATAACTGTCAATATATATTATATATACTAATATTGTAAATTTGATCAAAGTGATTCGCCTAACACAAAAAAAAATCAGAGTTTGACTGTCGCTTTAGCATCTTCTAAATTTAAATCGTTTTACTAGCAAGCTGATTTTATAAAAGTAATAACTATAATAGATATCAATTTATATATTTTACTTTTTTGTATATTCGATATTGAAAAGTATCTTTAGTAAATTGACGTGAATGTAAGATATTGTGCAAAATTAGTTAAATTAGTAAGAGAACAAAAAAAAAGTATTAATGCAGAAAGAAAACTCAAGTTTCTATCAAACTAGTTATGTACCGGACCGTTTCCTTTATCTATGATTTAATTTAATTTTATAATTTAATCTAAACGCGGAAAGTTTTTTGTTTCACAAATATATTACGAATAAGGTTTGTTATACTTGAATGTTATTAGGATTATGATTTTTATTGAAAAAAGAAATGTTCTTCACTTCGAATATAAGAATATATGATAGTAAAATACATAAGATGGTAGAAGTAATTTGAATATATGTAAGATGATAGAAATGTACATTGCGATAAGTATTTTACAAGATATTATTCGACAGAATAGAATCGACTCTCGCAATTATGGTGGCAAAGCTGATCAGAATTTTGTTCACGACGTTTCGAACCTTTGACCATTCCTTCCCCTTCCCATCATTCAACTTAACCCTTCTTTCATTTCCGATCTGATTGTCACACACTTTACTTGCTACAGTTTACTAGCTTTTGTTTTTTTAACCAAGAGATTTTTTGAACAAGGAGAGAACTGAGTTTCTTAACAAGTAAAATGTACTTTTTGCGAACATGACAGGCAATAATTCCGAAGATAGGTCAACGTTGCGGCCTTTATTGTACAACGTTTGGTTTTGTTGCGGAAAAGGATAGTCGATATGCTCTGAGCTAGGCTAGGTTATGCGCAAGAAGAACATACATATATGATATTTGCGTGTTATCATAAAGAGCGGAATATATGCAAAGTCGCATTTTTCAAGCGTCTTAGCTCGTATGTACGAAGGCTTCTTTGTTTACGCTTTCAACGATAACACATTGAATGAAAAAAAACTGTTGACGAACAGACATTACTGAACGATACCTGCTTGTGATGTTTGATTAAAAATTATACATTTTAACAATTAATAGAGTTTTTTATTCTAAATTTTGTTTGACAAAAATTCGAGAATGTAAAAAACGCAACTTATGTATCATATTCTGATCTAACCAAGAAACGATACTGCATTCTGGCTTTATATTCGACACGCAGCTACGACAACTTTGTCGTCGTTACACCGCACGATTCGCGTAAATATATACATATATATATATATACATATATATATACATATATATGTACGTACATATAAATATATATATATATATACGCACACACATACAACATCGCGTAAACAACACAGAGCAACGAATACCTTGAAATATCCGCCCTGATAGAGTGTATCAGGTGGACCGAAAATCGCGACTTCCCACTCAAACATGTTGTCCTCGTTGACGAGCTTAACGCGAAAGCCCTCCACAGGTTCTTCTTGCAAACTCTTGTATTCCAAGGCGAGTGCCCGTAACGCGCTGCTCGTCGGCTGTGCCATAGCAATTCTAGTAAGTTACCACTGCGCCTCTTTCGTGGAATATCACAATGTTGCGTCTACCCCTCCGAGCGGGCGAGAACGTCCCGATTTCTGATTGCGTCAAGTGGTCACGAACACGATAGATTACAGATTTCGCTGATTCTTAGAATCAATTGCATGTACGAGAAAGAGAAGACGGTTTTTGCAAAACGAGACTTAACACAAAAGCCACGCGCATTTACGCGTTTTCTTGGTTCTTCACGCCACCGCAGTATCGTACATCGGAAACACGCGCGGTTCTCTTTGCACGCGATTACCACAAACAAAAGAACGCGTCCGTGCAAACGGGTACCGATAACCAAAGTTGCGCGAAATGCCGTTCCAGTCAACAATATAACACCATTCCCGACGACGATGGACACACACGCACGTCCTCTCCGTGAAAGCCCAACAAAACAGCTGACGTACTCCTGCGTCACCTATCCATCCTTCGCACATGCGTACTTCGCTCGCCTTTCTATCATCTTTTCCATTTAAGAAAATTATGTATTACACTTTGTGTATATTTTACAACTTTTGTAAAGAAATATAATAATCGATTTCTATACACGTAAACACACATTATTCGTAAAACTAAATAAAGAGAAAAGAAAACTACAAAATTGAAGAGATCGAAGGTTTGTTCACTTTGCATGCTTCTACTCAGTCCAACGCGCCTGCACTAGTGCAACTTTTTTTTATTGAAAAAGTTCATTAAAAATGTTTTGAAGTTTCATTGAAGTTTCATTGAAAAATAGCGCGTTGGAGCATGTTGAAGCATGCGACGCGAACAAACCTCGAGATGAAAAGCGATGATTTAAAAAAAATCAGAAGTCAACATATTCCCATATATAAAATATATATGTATGGTTTTATTGCTTTGTCTATTGTCGATTATATGTTTTTATTATACTTAATTTTATTCCACTTTCTTCATTTATTCAGAAAAACGATGTTCGATTTAACAGTAATATAATGCACATATATTTTTAAACACAATATATGGATATATATATATATATTTATATATATTGTATTTAAAAATGGTTCCAAATAAAACAAGACGGTGAATAATTTGCTGATAACTTTATTATTATACTGAATTCAAATTGAGAAGAGAATTCTATTGCATATAAAGGAAGAAAAGCGGGCAAAGTGGGGATAGTGTTGCGCGCGGAATTGGCGGGATACTCGCTGGCAGCCAATGGCAGCGTTCAGCGGAACAATTGCTGAGTTGTTGTCTTATCAACAATTGACATTGATTGTTGGTTCTAAAAGTAAGAACCAATCATGTTCGATTGCTACAAAGCAGCTTGTTCTGCTGAACGCAACCAATGGCTGTTAAATGGGGGGGCTTTCTAGTAGGAGAGATGCGCACAACGGACGAGTTTTCGTTTATCTGGTTTTTTACTCGATTTGAATTTAGTAGCAGAAATCCAATAGCAGAATAATAGTTGTAAGCTGTAAGTCGTAAGAAATTGACTAATCACAGACAAATCTACTTCCGTCACCACTTTTTGAACCAAACGCTCTATCCTGTTTCTTTTTACTCAATGAGTGCGTTCAGACAACTCAACGGTTGAAAGATCATCACTTATGATAGGACTATTCTTCAAAATCTGCTTTGGTTCCAAAAGTATGATCCAATCAGAAGTGATTATCTCTTAACCGTTGTGCAACTGTTGGACTGTGTTCAGTTAAGCAAGAGGAACCGAACAAACGCAGGAAATGCAGAAAATATATATATAATATTTCTATATTGCTAGTCGCGTATCTTCGCAATGAGAGGCACGAGGCCCGAGAAAGGGAGACGCACGAAGTCCAAATATGGGCATAGATAGTCGAGCGTCATTATGCGCAGGCGCGTCTACTAAAGCCTATGTCACACTACGGATTGGGATTGAGATTAGATTGACATTTGACCAATCAGAAAAAAGAAAATCAATTCTAAGTGTACTGATCTTTGCTCTCTGATTGGCCAAATTGCAATTCAATCTCAATCCTAATCCGTAGTGTGACATAGGCTTAAGCGAGTGCGAGCGAGACAAAGCATTGGAAAGAACGCGAGAAAGAGAAATGCCCAAACGTGCTTGAATGTTCACCGCATGCGCACAAAGCAGCTGGAGAGAGAGGCTACTATATTGTCTGCACCGTAACATTTGGACTTCAGTTCGGCACCGTACTAGCAATATAGAAGTATTATATATATGGAAAATACAGAAACTGAAATGCAGGAATAGCAGAAATTGAAAGAAGTCGAGAAAGTGAAAAAGAAGAAATGAGAAGGTGGCTCCCCGATTTGTTGCGGAGCATGCGCAGTAGCAGAAGCAGACAACTGTCTTCTCATTTCTTCTTTTCCACTTTCTCGATTTCTTTCAACTCCTGCTACTCTTGCACTTCAATTTCTGTATTTCCTGCATTTCCCCTGCGTTCGTTCGTTCCCTCTTGCTTAACTGGACACAGCCTTGAGTTGTCTGAACGCACCTAATGATTGTATGTACATACATATTTGTTCCATTTTAAGTTGCAAATATTTCTAACAAGATGCAAGTTTTAAAAGTTCTGTATCCCAATAAGATTTCTTTTTCAAGAATCATTCTCAGCAATAGGTATAATACATGTTTTTTATTAATACATATATATACATACATGTATATATAATTGCACAAATATATATATGTATGTATATAATCGCATACAGTACACAACAAAATATATATTATCAATCATGTTATCAGCTATATATAATAAGTACATAAACATTTAAGCATTTTATACATATAAGATTTAATGTTAGTTTACTTTGAAGTATTAATCATTTCTTTTTGTAGATTGATTCAGCATGCATATATCAGTGAAACAACCAGATCACTATCAACAGTAGACAAAAAGGACATTAGACATCACAATACAATGAAAACACAATGGTGGGATGAAGATGGTGTATTAAAATTTCTCCACAAATTTAATCCACTCAGAGTACAGTTTGTGAGAGAGGGTATGGCAAATACTGGATTTGAAGCATCCAATCCAGCTTTTCCATTAAAAGGGCTTAAGATTATAGATGTTGGTTGCGGTGGAGGTATATTAACTGAGAGTTTAGCTAGAGTAGGAGCTGAAGTAACTGGAATAGATGCATCTGATGAATTGATAGAAGTAGCAAATCAGCATATAAAGTTAGATTCTGATATAATGGAAAGAGTAAATTACATCTCAACAAATATCGAAGAATTTTCTAAAACAAATATCGAATCTTATGATGTTGTTGTCTGTTCTGAGGTTTTGGAACATGTAGCTGATCCGGATTTGTTTATAAAGGTACAAGTTATGCAGCAAAAGTTAAATAAACAAACACATCGATGTGTTGGCTTATACGATTTTAAAAATTATAAATCTGCTACAGAAATGTGTAGAAGTGCTAAAACCTGATGGATCAATTTTTATAACAACAATAAACAGAACTTTATGCTCTTGGCTTGGTGCTATTATAGTCGCAGAATATATGCTGAAGGTAATAGCATTGGGTACCCATCAATGGAATAAATTTCTTTCTCCATATGAAGTTCAAAGTATATTAGATAAATGTAAGTCTTATATGTTATTTTTGTATACAAACATCCGTTTTATATAACAATGGTTACTTTATATTAAAATACTTCTCACATTTATAATAACAGCTGGCGTACAAGAGAGATTGTATACAATAAAATTTCTTTTTCATTTTTATAGATGGATGTAAAACAAAAGTAATTCATGGAATACTAGTTAATCCATTGACATATCACTTTAAGTGGTCGTCATATACGGGAATTTTTTATGGAATTCATGCGGTTAAACAAAAACAGACTACCATATAATATAATTTTCTACGTATGACTGTTATAAAAATTTGCACAATGAAACCGTGACGTGAAATATGTACATATATGTACACATATATGCACAGATGCGTGTAAATGCAAATATGAAACTTTGGAAATATACAATTAATTATACACAGAAAGTGTATGAAAACAAATATTTTATTTATCCTTTTACTTGCATTCAAAGAATACACTTGTTTCATATCGTTACAATACTTCAGTACATGTTTGATATTATGTATGTACCATATTACATGAAGACGAGTTAAAGGATGTTATTCACTTAATAGAATAACATCGCAGATCTTCGATCGAAAATATATCATGTATGTACTTTATGTAATACAATACAGAAAACCGCAAGTCATAATCACAAGTAAAAGTCAACAAACATACAAGTCAACAAACAATAAGAATCGACGTTTTATTTAATAACTTGTTTTGATATTTTTTTTTTTAATTTCTGAAAGTATATAATAGCATATAATATGAAAAGAGGAGAAGCAAATTATTTTGCCTTAGCGAATCCAACTCGGTCGTTTCCCATATCAAATTCAGTATAATAACGGCCGATAAATACGTCACCCAGAATCCATAACGGTTGAGGCGTATCCAAACCCATGAAACCGCTCATGCAAACAGTCTCGCCCATTGTCTTTATCTGTAAAGCAAAACAGTCATTTAAATGTAATATACTCTAAAATGTATTATTATAGAGTTCTGAAATACCATATTCTCAAACGTGTAAAATAGTTAAAAAAAAAACTTTGTTTTTAAATTAAATAGAATCAGAATGTATGACGCTTACTTTAAGAATATAATCTTCACCACGGAGACAGAATTTCTTTCCACCCAGAGTGATTGTAATCACAGGCATGTTAGGAATCTCATTGCACTTTACCTATAAGAGATAAGTTATAATTACTGATTTTGTACTTGAAAAGTTTTTACCTTTTTAAACTTTATGTTTATGTTAACTTAATGTTAATCACTATATATCCTGCTGTGCTTGTTAGACAACAGGTTCAACAAGTTTTCATCATTACGGAAAGGATAATTATTACTTACCATAGCTTCTCCGTTAATGTCAATCGCTCCTATCGCATCGTTAATCGATTTAATATCTTTGGTAGGTCCAGCAATAAGAGAAGTGCCCGTATCGGCGATAGCTTGACAACCAGCCGCGCACAAAGTCTTATCACCTACTTGAATGCTATAACGTGATAATATTATATTGTCGATGTTATTATCGGCACATGATCAGTGTAATTTAGAAAGTAACTACATACTTGTCCATAGTAAATTGCCAATATCCTTTGCGCGTAACGGGAACATATGTGAGTTCACCTTCATAATGATCAGGATCAGATCCACCCAATATCATTTCACCACCCACTTTAGCCGAAGGATCACTATAGGTTTCAAATTGCAATAATAAAATATAAACAAAATAAATAATGCGTTATTCAGAAGTTAGTGCTTTAGTTTAAATATTTAGTTGACAAAATGGTTAAAAAAAAAAAAAAAAACAGACTTAAAAAACGTGCATCATGAAAAAATACTGGTATAAAAAGATACCGATTCAAGTAGAAACTGAAGACAGGTTCTTTTACTAAGCCTTGTTTAACCATATTATAGAAGACAGGAGTTACTCCATCAACGGAAATGGTAGAGTAGCCCATCCCCAGGATACCGTCAAACTTAGCAGCGACAAAAGTCAAACCTGGTTCGCTGATTGCTTCCGCAAAAGTTTGATGTTGAACCTTGATGCCAGCAACCTGCAAATATCAGTAGTTAAATTTATATTAGAAATAATTTATTTGGAGTAATAACAATGTTTAAAAAACGTTTGTATTTATTAATAGATTATGATTTGATATAAGTCACTTCGTGATGACTCACATCCACTACATCCGAAGATAAGTATCCAGATAGACTGCCAGTGCCATATTGAATAGCAAATGAGGTTCCGTTTGGACTATAGGTACTAGATTTCTTGCTGTCGTATTTATTATGCAATACTGCAAAGTATAACAAACAGATATTTTAATGATGTTAGATTTTAAAAGCAAACTTTTTATCAGTGTAAACATAAGATCGAGTTTAAATAATCAAATTTAATTTTTTATTTGTTGTTAAACCAAAGATATAAGTTATCTTAGTGTGTCAAAGGTCATTTGTATCTCAAAAGTAAGTGTGATAAATTGCATAAATTACAATTGTGAAATTTAACTCCACAACATTTAGATTATTAATAACTAAATTTTACAATTATATTTACTCTGTGTTTTTTCAAATAGAGATACAGATCTTTTTATTGATTTTTATTACTATAATTTGTAAGTCATGAATGTCATTAAGTATGAAACTTGACACGCGCACGTATATATTTGTCAAGTTTCACACTTAATAATCCAATAGTTTACAGTAACTGTATTTTTAATAATTTTAAATGTTACTTACAACAGGCAATATTGGTAAAGCGACATTTTTTGGATGGTACCCACAGATTTGAGGAGCCAGTATCAAAAATTACGTTAAATTTCTGGGGTGGAGTTCCAATGCTGATTGGACCATAGTATTGAGCATCCAGATAATTGGACAAAGGTTCCGGTACAAGTCCTTGAGAATCTTCAGCCAAACGTATCTGTTCTAACTCAGTGCCAACTCCTTTTAGAGTCTTTCGGATAGAATTGGTTTTGTACAGTGGAATTCTTGGAACAACACAAAGAACATTTCATTATATATATATATATGTGTATACAAAAATTCTTTAAATATGTTATCATCTTTACTAAACCATATTCACAGAAAAAAAACATAAGTCACCAGACAGTCATAAGTATATAGTCATTGAAAATGACGCTTTTATTATATATTCATAGAAAAAAGCTAAACTTTGAAAAACTTATAATTTAATTAACTTAAAAAAATAATTTAATTAACTTAATAATCACAATAACTTAATTTAATACAATTTGTATGTATGATTTGTAGATTATTTAAGTTGACAGCACAGTTTTAAAAATATCTCAGCACCTGATTCTTTGTTCCAAAAACATTGACATCTTAGACAGTCTTAATATCAAACAAAGAAAACATGTTTTGTTTATTGCTCATGTAAACTTATAACAGCACAGTAAAATATAATTGCATTAACTATTGTAATAATAGTTCCATCTATCCTCTCTTTCAGAGAGAAAGAGAGAAATAGAATATACATTTTAAATAATTTTAGACACAAACTAAGATTAATATTATAAACGTTCTTCCTTAAAGTAAGACGTTTATAATATTAATCTTAGTACATCCTAGTTTACATTCTGAAAACAAATAAGCGAAGTTTCCAGAGAGATCTTTGAAAGAAATATAAACAGAATCTTTAGTTACCAAACAAAAACATGAGATCGAGTATAACTTTCTTAGTCATCAAATACAAGAATTTTTGAAAATAAGATTTTGTCCGGTCATTTCGCTGAAATAATATAATCGTATTTGCGCAGTTTCTGTATCAATTTTATCAAGTCGGAAATGAGAAAGCGAGATGTTTCATTGGTACTTATTTCGCAATATCAGTATGATACAATGTAGAGTATACTCACCTTTGGATTTTTTGTTCCGCGTCGATCAGCACAAAGAGTGCCGCGACCACTACAAAGAAGCGAAACATATTTCTTTTCGGCAACTAAAAAGTTTCAAATCAAAACCGATTATTTATATATACGTCAAATTTTCTTCTGCAACTAAATACAAAACCGAGAACCTTGTCGAACCCGACCAGACCACTCGACTTGCGTTTTCGATGACGATGTTTATCGACTTGCGGCAGCGCTATATATACGACTCAACTCCCTCTTCCGTCGCCATCCCGCGCCTAGAAAGTGACAAGGCATATCAGCGCGCGAATATACGAAAAACAAGAGAGCAGTCTCTTCATTAATCAATTCTAATAATACGTATTACATTTGCATGTGCATATTCTATTCTCTAATTAACACTGACATATGTCAGTAAGTAGACTAATGATTAATAGAACAGAAACAATCATACCTAGGAAAAAATACGCATATATGTATAAATTGTTTGTATTGATGACATGATTGAACGCAACAATGCACTTTGCAAATGAAATCTCTAAGCTTAAATGAAGTACACTAATTTGTAGCTACATGTCACATCACACAGCATTAGCAACAATGCGTTGCACCGTTCAAGGTTAAAACGCGCGTTAGAGTTATATGCAAAAATTCATATTAGTGTGACGTATAGAAGTTTACGAGGTAAACGATAAAAAAAAGATTAGGTTTCTGCTTATCGAGCAGAGTTTGAATTTTTACAAAGTTAACAATGCAACAAGCTACTATGTCAAATGATTGGGTTGTGTTAAACAAATTTTACAGTTGTTACGATTAAAATATAATATTACATATGCTGATAGATAAGTAGACATAATATGTTTTAAATATTTTTGCGCCTCTCTCAATAAATATCTTTGTAAGAATAGTCTCTAAAACTGTAGTTACTACATTTTTTTTTCGACTTTACGTTTATATTTATAATTTTTTATATAAATAAAAATTGAAGTAGAGTTTTTCTAGAACATGTATTAGATATATATTAGATATAGATATATTATTTTTTGTAGTCGCTGTATAAACAAAGTAGATAAAATTAAGAAATTATTTTTATGACAGTTTTTTAGTTCCTGCTTATAAGTTATTGCTCAAGTGCAATAAATTCAATAATGAGAATCTTTAAGTAAAAAGCTGATACAAAAAAGTTTTCCAAGAATAGAATATATTTACGAACTATTCATAAAATACGTGTTTTTTTGCACTTCTGTATACATATTATTCAAGCTTGTATCATAGAAAGAAGCAAACAAATTTTTTCTTGCGATGAGCAGCTCACTAAAACTATCTTAAAAAAGTGCACTCTGCCTTGTATCAACTCAAGATATACATCCTCTCGATACCATTATATTATTTCTCTCAGCTTTAATCTGTCTTTTTTCTAGATCTATTATTCTGGAGCGCAGAATAAATCACTCATTTACTTCCTTATTTTCTCCTTTCAGATTTTTGATACAATAAAATTATACATTTAATTAAAAAAGAAGACAAATATACATAACGTATATAAAGAATTAAGAAAGATTTAATAACAATTATCTTACATATATAAATTTAATTAAGATGAGATTGTACACCGAAAAATTATATTCTCTTTTTCTTTTGTATCTCAACACAAGTGTTATAAAATCTACTCAATACTACATTTGTTTTTTCGCGCGTCATATCGCGCAATGCATGTTGGGCCGATAGAGGATCCTGATAGAAGACCCTACCGACTAGCCAATCAAAGACCGGCATCGTGCGTCGACTCTCCGTGCTCTCAGTCCTGAGCCCGATTCGCAGGCAGGAGTAATCGTTCTTCTTTCTTGGCCCCCAGAGTCAGCAAGCTCAAAATTTTCCCGAGTGTGCGAGAGCATCGGCAGCGTTAAACGGCAGTAGAAAAGACGGCAATTCTCGTAGTCGTCGTAATCGTTCACTTTTAATTCTGTATTTGCGTATATATCTCTGGTCTTTTGCGTCTATTATTCGCGGCACAAATCGTGCAAGTAGCGCGCGCGCTAAAATATAACGCGCCGTCCGAGACGACTTGAACGTACAGCCGCTCACTGACGTTGGAGCAAACCGGAGTGAGAAAGCCACGATAATCCGCTGGAGACGGTATCAACGACAAAAGGTAGAGGAAAATAAAACCGAATGGCCGATGCACCACACTGATCAAGAAAAAGAAAGAATGAGAGGAACGCATCTCTTGCAATGCGTGTAATTTTGTGTGTGTGTGTGTGTATGTATGTATGTATGATGTATAATGTATAGTGTATGTATGTGTGAATAGAGAAGAAAAAAAACCGAAGTAAAACGTATGCGAATCCTTGCCGGACCTGTTCAGTTGCATATAATCTCTCATTCTTAAAACTTCATCACCTTTAAAGGTATTCGGCTGAAGAAAACATAAATGCACGTTGTAATCGTCGTTGTCATCATCATTATCATTGGCAGTGCCACAACAAGCGGCGTCGTCGCGACCCACTTTTGTGGGCCTTGCGTGCCGGTTAAATTGCCATTTCTTTATTGTATCATATCGACAAAACACCCGGTCCTTCCCCTTCTCTTCTACTTCTCTCTTTCTCCTTCCCTCTCTTTCTCTCTCTCTCTCTTATCTTTTCTCATTCCCTCCTTGCTCCCTCTTAATTCTTCTCTTGTCTTTATCTGTCTTATTTTCTTTCTATAGCCCTCTCTCTCTCTCTCTCTCTCTCTTTTTCTCGTTTGCTCACTTTCTTCTATTCTCTATTTGCATCATACTGTTATTCACATGAGCAACAGAACTTGTTTCACAATTTTCTGTCTTGCTCACTTTGTGTATCTATTTTGAGTGAATATTGTACTAAATCTTGCTACTTTGTATTGTTATGCCAGTGTTACATGCTACTGTCAAAGTTGTGCATCTTCCACTGTTGAGGTTTTTTTCAATATTTTGTGGTGTACACGAGAAATTATTATGTAAACGTTAATTTTTAGATTTTGCTGTATTTGATTACAAATTTAAAAAACATTTATTTATAAATAAATTATAAATATTTTTAAGATGGTAAATTCTGATAGACTTAGCTTATAGTATGTTTTTTACTCATTTGTGCAATTTATTCAAATTGCTATTTCTTAATTGGATCATTTACAAAATTTAAAAACATTTACAAATGTATAAAAGTATTAATTTTGTTAATACTTTTATACATATGTTTTGTTAAAAAAATTTTTTTATATTTGCATTTAAAATATTTTAGAGTATAATATTGTGACAAAAGTATTATGACACTACTATTTTTGTTGCAGAAACAAAATGTCGGACAGAAAAGCAGTAATTAAAAATGCTGATATGTCAGAGGAGATGCAGCAAGATGCTGTTGATTGTGCAACGCAAGCATTGGAGAAATTTAACATAGAAAAGGTATATAATTTTTCTATTTTATCTGTTGATAATATCTCTGTAAATATCTCTATAAATAGATGCGATAAATAATACAGAATTTGAATATCCTTGTACTTTTTATTTCAAAAATATAGAATGCAGTCTAGATATAATCACTGTAAAAGATGTATATGTGTTTACTAGATTCTTTCTAAAATATATTGAATAAGTATTTTAACAAAAAATAATAATTTGTAAATATTATAATATTTAATAGAATCTTAATATTTGTATGTGATTGCTACAAAATTTGGCTGAATTAATTATTGTATTTAATAAGATAACTTATTTTAAGTATACAGAGAGACAACATATAATTTAAAAAATAATAAAAATATGAATGTATAAGAATGATGTTTTAAGAATTCCTAGTTTAGATCAATCAGTTTGTTAATAATAATATTGATTTAATAATTTTAAATTATATAAAAAATTATTGATTTTTATATCGATATATCTAAAAAAAGAATATACAAATTATGTGTTAAAAGGATTTATATTTTTGTACTTTTGTTTGTTGAAAAACTTGTATCACATTATATGTAAATTGTTGCTAAAAAAATTGTTAGATCAATATTATTATTGACATAATGGTTATTGTTTTAATTAGAAATTCTTAAAAAATATCACACATGAATTGCTGCTAAGTTATAGTAAAATTGTTAGATCAATATCATTATTGATCTTGTTACTAACATTCATTGATATTGACTTTCAGGATATAGCTGCATTTATCAAGAAAGAATTTGATAAGAAATACAACCCGACGTGGCATTGTATTGTAGGACGTAATTTTGGTAGCTACGTGACGCATGAAACAAGACATTTTATCTATTTCTACCTTGGTCAGGTAGCCATTCTTCTCTTTAAGAGCGGATAAGCTCATTTCTATAAAACTCCATCTCTCTTCTTTTCCTTTCTCTTCCTTCCTTCTTCCATCTATTCCTCTTTCCCTCCTTTGTTCTTATGCAAAATACATACATTTAAAATTCATCATCATGTGTACACTATGTGTAAAAGAAATTTCATTATTGTATGTATAAGTTTAAAACCTTATTTTAAACAACATATACGCGCTCGATAAGCAGATAAAGAAAAGATATTGAAGTTTTCAACTTGACACAAATTATTTATCGTACAAGCGAAAGGCTAATAACGCGAAAAAAGTTTCAAGAAAACATTGAAGGGTAGGAAGACAAACTGAAAGAAAAAGGAAAAATGACATACAATTTTACATGTTGGAATGTATTTTGTATGCCAACGAGTTTGTTGTGTTCTTGTTTTATATTATTAGGTGAATATGCAATATGCGGTTGAGTTCAATACTGGCGATTTTAAATTAGCAAAGTTTAGCGCAATTGTTTGATATATATATATGTATATGTATATATATATATGTATATGTATATGTATATATATATATATATATAGGTAGATAGATATATAATGTTCATCTCATAACACTCTAAGTGCACTACGTATACTTCGCGTTTAGGTGACTTTGCATAATACACATGTACCTTGCTTTATTTGTCGTAAAAAGAAATATGTGGTAATTGCTCTATAACTAATCGCCAATAATGAATGTAAGCCCATACAAGATTGCTCCTGCAAATGTATTATATATTGATTTGAAAAATTATCGTCTTTTATGTGCTACATAATTAACAAAATTAACTTGAGTTGTGTATTTGCTCCTTTGATTGTTCTGCTCGTTTAGTTTAAGAATCATCAAAATGATTAAATAAGTGAAAAAAAAGAACTGAGCTCAATCTCTTTGTCGACATACGATACACTATCACGTCGTGCACATATTCTATTAATAACAACTTCATTTCAATCGATATATAAAAAACTAACTTGCTATGTGACTCATTCACTGCTACCTTCACAATTTTTATATTGTGCACGGACTATAATGCAAAAAAATAAACATTTTATCTCGAGGCGATGTATACTTAGAAAATATTCGTTTTTGGAAAAGAGAAATATCACCTTTTGCCCACATTGAATTCTATTGTTTATGTAATAAAATTTACAAACACTCCATATTATATATATAGTACTTATATATAATAAATATAGATTATATATACATATGTACTATTTATACATACATATATATATATGTGTGTATATATATATATATATATAGTGCAATCTTCAAACAATTTTTCATGCAGCATTTGATTATCGTAAACGTTGCTACATTGTTCAAGTTTTAGACTGACTATTAAATAATATGAAGAAAATATATTACCATCACGCATAATTCTTATTTTTTTCTTTATAGAAGTTCAAAGATGAGCTACTTTTTATATGAGTAGCAAACGTGTTCAGCAGCGCTCGAAAATAAAAAATTACAGAAAAAGAATCAAGAATTTATCACTGAAAGTAGATACGACCTGATATACTGTGTTTCTCTTTCTATTTATTTATTGTACATTTATTCTAGCAAATTTATTGACGCATACATAGTGCATACATAAATGTAACATAAAACGCTGTATTTCTACAATGTTATAATATGATGTAAGTTATACTTTCGCTATTTGCTACATATGAGATTAGTTCAAGGAGTATATCGCCAGTAACATCCAATACAAATTGTCGATAATAGATTCTAACAAAATGATTTTGTATATTGTGCACGTTTAATCGAAGAAATTATTATTATGCTGTGTTAGACAACGACTATCTCTCACTATTAGTTCATTTGGCAAAACTTGAGCAGCTGCTTCCAAGAATGTGTTCTCATGAAACCAAAACAGTGCATAATATCGGAAATAAACTTTTTCGTACATCCCGAAGAGACAAGTCAATAAGTGAAGAGTAAAATCTTGGCACAACGTCTCTATATTTTTGTTTGAGTTCGAACTCGATAGGCTGCGGAAAATCTTGTACCTGTCATCAAAATTTCAAGAGGTACTTTCATGATCGAGTCTGCATGCAGAAGAGATGCGGTAAAAGCAAATGAGTATTATTATGCTTAGCAATAAAACAAATCAGTTCTACACAAGAGAAGTGACGTACTTTCTTCTGCAGGACTATAATGTATATATGTGGGATAAAAACATTACGCTGTTATAAGTGAGAATATTGAATGTCATGAGGTCGAATTTTCCCTAAAATTAACGACATTGAAATAGCTCAAGGGAAATGAATTGAGGGGTGCGCACGCACGTGGGCGATCTTTACGAGAATATCAATATTGCGTGTTCTCTCGATAAAATTTAACTTTGTTACTCACAGAAAGTGGCGGGACTGTAACTACTTGTTATGCTCTTCATAATTTGCGTAACTTTTAGCTGGTGTATTTCATTTCCACCTCTAACAGACTGTATACTCTATGTACCCTGCGCTTTTGCAATGTTAAGCACACATATGTTTCTAAGCGTACATAGAATTGCATACATGTATGGAAGCAATATATCTGCTTCCTCCTTCAATAACAATCATTTTCTAACTGTTACATACATATGTTTCTTTGACTTTGTTTGATTTTACAGTGATAGTACATTTATCTATTAAGTCATCATTCAGTTTTGAAATAATGGTTAGTTTAGATAATTGCTGCTTTAAATACCAGATATACATTTTTTTTACTTTTGCAAAATTACTTGCAAAACTATCATAATATACTTTTGTTTGAAAGATACACAACAATATAAAACTATTAGTTTATTGTATTCAATTTTTTTTTTGTTTTTAATAATTTAAAGTTGAAATAACTATATTTAAAAATATCAACAATACTCGGCGAGTATTAGAACGCTGAACTCAGAGTCACCACGGACAAGTATGGATTGTCGACGGACAAGCATGGATTCATTTTAAAAGCATGACTTCAATTTTACACTTTATATTATATATATATTCGTATCACTGATTAAGCCACTTTTTTCAAGTTTACGAGCAAGAAGAGAAATTTATTAATTTTTTATAGATATAGTTAATGAAAATTTTTTTCGAATCAAGTTATTTTTGAGTTTAGAAAATTTAACAGATTAAAGTTCGAAATTGACAGCTCAATGAGGAAAATGTGTCATTAAACTTAATATTTTGTCATACAGAAGATCTTTAACATCTATAGCCCACATAAAATCCAAATGATTAAATTTATCATGCGGAACGCGGAATTTCCCGTAAGGATTGCCTAACTCCTTGTACAATTTATCCACGTCCTGTAAAAGAATCGTAACATACAGACAATGCAATATTTTCACATACATACATACATATATATACATATATATAAAAAGTAATACTCATGAAAAGACAAACATGACATATATATGAAAAAACAAACCTTAACGTTCGCTAACCAATCATTGCTGCTGTAATGCAACGAAACTGGCACTTGGATTTTTTTTAGATCATAGGCTGGTGGACTGACTGAACCATATTTTTTTAGATTACCGATCAGTCCGTAATCAAATTGTCTAAATTGTCCTGCTGAAACCACTTGCCCTAATAACAAAATTTATTATATAATTTTTTATATTTTATAAAATATGTTGATTTAACCAGAGAGCAAGAAATGTTTTGCAAAACATATTGCATCTAAATATTAAAACATACAAAATACTTCAATATAACTATATAAATACATTTTGTTTATCTTCTGGCAAATATGTATAAATTGAAAAAAGTAAACACTTGCCAGAATGAGCTAGCTGCGTGTAGTGCAACAATTGCTTTGTGGCCGCGCCAGCGGGAACATACTCCAAGATTATGGGTAGAAGAGTCTGTAAGAGAATAGCGACGTAACATATATTTGTAAGTATATAACTCAATGATAACGCGTAGCATTACTGATTATTTATATGAGAAAACAAAATATGTAAGTAATTCGAATATATATATAAAATAAAATAAATTTATAAAGTAAAGAAGCGACAATTTTGTACTTTGTTATATTGGTCTGAGTCGAATCCAGCAATCAGGAAGAGGAAATTTGAACATAAGGGTTCTGTGATAGCATTTTCTTCGCACACTAGTTCCTGGAATATCTTATATCCTTCATGGATAGGTTGGATTTCATATTTTCCAAGTAATTTCATGAATATCTTCAAGATATTTGAGGTTTATGAAAAATGAATTAAATTACTTATAATCATATTATATATACGTAATATATTATGTTACAACGCGCTGTACAATATGTTGCAGTTATCCATACAGTAGAACTCAATTTATATGAACTAAAAGGAAGACAAATTCACATAACCGAGTATATTTCATATAAATAGAAGCTTACTTTTCTCTATTATCTACCGCCTGAGCGTCGCCCGCTCTTACTATCTGAACTAGCGACGGTGTTGAGATAATAGAAGTAGACGCTCAAAGTATGTAAATTCAACTAGAGTTTTATTTTATAACAACACGTACAATGCGCATGAATGAGACATATTTAATTTGGAAAAACAATATAATGCTATCAACAACTAAGCGTCGCAAGTCGTTCTATTTCTATTATCTGAACTACCGGCAGTTATTCAGATAATAAGATCTCAGCTAGAGTTCGGTTAATCAGACATTGTAAAAAATCCGTTTATATAACTGGAGTACATATAAACGGAGTTTCACTGTACACACAAACATACCCAGCAAACATTTCGGTCACAGAACCATATCCATCTGTGTCCTCAGTAGGATATGGTTTGTTAATCATGTCTGTCAACATGTGAAATGTCAAAATGCGACCAAAATAATGACAGAGTCTGCCACAAGCAAAGCGAGGCCAAAT